GACAGTGTTGCTGAATTAGTTCAGAACAGTTGTATGAACAAGGGCAGTATCGTTCGAAACCCTTCGATAAAGCACATTTAACCAAATACTGGCAGTACTCTGTTTTATTTGTACGATTAATAAACTCTGTTTCATATATGTCCTTTATTTCACACATACCATCTGGTTTTGTCCACATAGACATATGAGGATATGTTTCACATTTGTAAATATATTCGTTTAAATTGGCACATGTAGCACTCCTAAACACCATTGGATCGTCATAGAATATATTTATTAACAATGAACATTGACCATCACCACATGATGCCTTATCCCGAGTGCACAAGCTCTCATCGCAAATAAAATGTAATGCACCGAAATAACATTGAAATCGAGTCTGGTCAACTTTTTCTAAACTAACACTTTTTCTGAGGATTTCATCAGTCAAGTCCATGCAATCAAATGCTCCTAAATGTAAAGACCAAATAACGATTAGAAGATAGTTTTTTGTTTCACAATCAAAATACTCACCGTCGAGAAAGTATTCCTGTGGAATGCACATCCCATTGCTGCAACGATATTCATCTGGTTCACATTCATTGAATTCAAGTAAATCATAATTATCTTCATCAACACCGAACATGCATTGTTGCTTACCATCACAAATATCTCGCCAATCCAAACACCGTAAACCTGAATCACATTGAACTGTTTCATAACATTGCATTTTTCCATACCCATGATATTTATGCCAATTGGTTACCTCCTCAACGATTCTGTCCGTATCTCCTCGGAAAATTTAGAGAAATAGCCTTGATATTCACAAAATTTACCAAAAGTGTTTTGTTCCGTACATATACAGAGTGTGATGTTATTTTTATCTGATGTACTTACTGCCGTTGCTAGATAAGCAGCATATTTGTCAGCCTGTTCGATACTTACACTGTACGCAAGTAAATCATTTGGTTTAACTTTCATTTTACCCAATTCTTCAAATGTTATTTGACGACCATTATTGAAACAATCTCCTTGGTATGCTTTGTCTCAAGTCAAACGAATACCGATTGATAATCGTCGACAATATTTAACCGGTGATTGTTCACTAATATAATAGACACAATCATAATATTCTACTGATGGGCTATCTTCGGTATGATACATTAGAAAAAATGAGTAACTTCCATCCATAATCAAAAGTAAAAGAAATAAATATACGAGACAGGTATCAACATACGACCGTCTCTTCATTTTGAATTTGATGAAAAGACGATTATATACTATACAATGGTTTTTCAAATTCCAATCTGAATTTCTACAAAGAAAAAGAGAATTTATTTTGAACTAAGGATGAGAGTGTTTCAGTTACTTTCGAATCTAATGCTGATTTCGTATGAAATTTAATCTCTGATGTTAGCCATTGTGAAAGATTTTTTTGTTAGAGCATCTAGTCCAGCACTCTTTACACGAATGAGATCCGATCTTTTTCTCGAAATCCAATTTAAAATACAGAAGATTATTTACTCTTATTCACGCAGATGAAGTCTGTAGTACGATCACGACATTATATTAACCGGCGACAGAACATATGTATCCCAAGTCTTACACACTCTCACTACCACACTACATCGGCTGTCACGTTTTCGTCAATATAGTTCTGTTTGCATTTTTATGGATAGATTATATGGAAGAAATGTTACTATTAAACATTCAACGATGGTATCTATGATAGAGAATAAAAGAGAGAACACACTATGGCAAATAGAATACTGTTGTGAGCGTGTATAACTAAGCAAGTTTTTTTTATTAATTTGGACTTCTTTACTGTATGTGATAGGATTTATCTGCGACAAATCACGACATCTTATAAATAAACAGAATTGGTATTAGTTTCAGGAATCATAAATCCGGTCTTTTTTTGTTGTTGTCATAAATATAGATAAAAGGCCATAATCACGTACTATTTTACGGGCCATGCCATCTAAGGCATGATGAGAATATGTCTGAGAACTGGGTGAGGGTAGATTTGGGTGTTGGTAAAAGAAAGATCAATACTCACAGGATCATTCAGACTTAGACCAATACCCTCACCTTCACCCACCCACACTCACACACCCTCAAGATGCTATATCTATGTACTTTTGGTAGGCCATATAATCTTCCAGCTAAACTTCATCCGATTTATTTAAGTCAAGGCATTTATATGCATTTGTTTTATCATGTATTCTTCCGTTTGCCACTGATAATGTTGTGTCAGTCTAAGATGAAATACTTTCGATTTATTGATCTCCACGGATACTGTGCTGTCATGCAGCTACTTTTATACAATTGCGACCAAAGCGAGAGCTTTCTCTTAATAAATTTTGGTAATAAAATTTCTTCGTTTTTCTTTCTATATTTTTGCTGACAAATATGGAATTATGTTTTTCAATCTGATCTTTTTCAAATGAACTTACGAAAAGTAACGAAGTCCATTGGAGCGATGGGTCACCACTTGAGTTCTTTTGGTTTTCTTAATATTGATGATTCTGCGTTGTATCGTTTTCTTAGTATTTCACTCTCAAGATGCCATTCCACATCTTATTCAAACGCGAGTGCTTGTTGGAATACGGTGAATAACTTCTAAATTTTCTATCCCCACAAAATACTCTTCAATTAGTTTTATTGGAGTCGAATCGATGCAAATTTGCAAATTTTAATAATGATTTCAGATACACGGGGATTCAGCACGAAGTAATTGGAATTATTCATGTCTGATCGGTAGAAGTCATTTCATCACAAATGGTTTTTATCTTCGTCAAATATTTATTAATCATCAACAAACGCCAATTGATAATCGATTCTATCGTCGGTATCTATAATTTTTCTTAATTATTAATTTTAATGAAATTTCTCTTTTCTTCGAAATGAAAAAGGCGTGGACGATATTTCCTTTCTAATGAATAATGAAACATGACCAAATAAAAAATAAAATCTGATCACATTTTTTTGCATGAAATTAGGAGAAATGTCTATAAAAAAAGGGCGTTTTATGCATTTCATTTTTTCGTTAAAAGTACTTTTTGACACGGAACATTAATTTCATTGCAAATCAAATATAAAAACAGATGCAGACTGCACATTTCACTACTCAAATGCATTCAGATTCCGAAAACTTTTGTGAAATCAAACAAATTTATTATAAACTTATTCAATTTCAATCGGATATTGTCGATAATGTTTTTCAATTGAATATTATTGAACGAAAAAATCTTTGGTCAAGTATTTTAGATTTATGGATCAAATTAACAAAGAACATTTCGAATGTCACATCACATAATGAACATCTTTTCAATGATTCTTTCAATATTATTCACACTTTATCTCAACAATTAGTCGAATCCAAATCAATTTTGGATAAAAATGATCGAGAAATTGTGCAAAAAACCTGTTTATCATGTTTAAAAATGTTAAATTCAGTTCCAATGAATGATTTCCTATGTAAACATCATCACATATCTCATCAATCAATTTTAGAATTAAATATTTCTCTAATTATGACATCGTTTAGTGAAATAACTTTTCATCTTCTTCCAAATGATATTCATATTTTTGAAGAATATCTTCAAATATTAGTTCAATTAACGAAATATATGGAACGAAAAATAACATCAAATGAACACCATATCAAATCTATTGTTGAACGTCTTTTGCATTTTTTTTGGAATCTAAGTGATCGAATCTATTTTCTTTCAATTTTAATTAAAATTAATCTTCCAGAAAATGTCCTTCGTTGGTTATCGTATTCAAATTCTCATTTTCTTTCATTAATTTCAATAATTCATAATTTATCACGACATGACATTGGTGTAGATCAACTAAATCAACATAATGCCATTGAAATTATTAAAACATTTCAACAAAAGTAATACAAATAGATCTTTCTCAAGAAAAGAAAATCCCCACTTTTAATTTTAGACATCATTTCGAAAAAACTAAAGAAATTGAATTATTAATTTCAATGATTTTAGCTGAACTTTCCTCACCTGAACAATTGAAATGTGATGAAAAGATTAGAAATAATGTTTTAAATGAACTGTTACAACGAACAATCAATGCTGCAAATAATGAGAACTTTTTAGATCAAACTGGTTTTCATATCAGTGAATTTTTAGCTGTTATGGTCAAATTATTCGTTGTTGAAGAAAATACACTCGATTATATTTTATGTCATGCAGAAACTCATCCTCCATCTAATACTTCATCAACTATTCAATTATTTATTTCACTTTTCAAATCATTTTGTCAAATATCAGATGAAAATAATCATCTCGAACAATTTACTTTAATTACAATTATTAATATTCTTTGGAGTATTTCATTTCAGAAAAAATATTTACAATTATTGATTAATGATCACAAAGAAATAAAAAATATTTTGGAAAATCTTATTGAAAATCAAAATATCGATATTATTGATCGATACAAACCACGATCAATTGAAGGAATACGTGTTGCTGCTCAAGGAATTATTCATAATACTCAACAATATTCTCAAAATCAACACATTTCTATTCATTCACTCTCATCACAACAACAACAGACATCACCAACGAAAATGTATGTAAATCTCATATTTTCCCACATCTTCATCCTCAATTTGTAATATTTTAGTGAAAAACCATTGGTAATGATCAGTTATTCTCATCATGATAAAGTATTTTGTGACAAACTTGTTGATACTTTATCAAATAAACAAAATTTGTTTGATTTTTGGATCGATCGAAATCATAGTCGAATAGCTGGTGATCTTTGGGAATTAATTGCATCGGGAATTGAACATGCCAATGTTATTCTTTGTATCATTTCTGATTATTATTTTCAAAGTAAATCATGTCGTCATGAACTGATCTATGCAACAGATTCACTTCATAAAATAATTATTCCTGTTATTTTAGAAGATTTTAAACCAAAAGGATGGTTAGGTAAACTATTTTATATTTCTTTCTTTTTCAATTTATTTTCTATAATTAAATCTTTTAGGAATTCGAATTCCTGGAATGAAATATGTTCGATTTCATACGATTAAACAATTAGATGAAGAAATTATAACGGATTTATTAGAAACAATTCTTTCTACTCTTCCATCAACAGAATCTTCTGATGAGAAGATTTCTCATTTAAATAATCAATTATCAACAAAAGATGAGATTGATAAATGGTTTTTACATCATCATATTTCAATACAATTACGAGATCTTTATGATTTTCAAACAGAAGAAGAAATTATTCAATATGGAAAAGATTTGATTGAAAATTATGATAAACATTGGCAAATCTATTCGAATGCATATATGAAAAAATTCAATGGTGGACAATTACTTCCACATGAATTTCAACGTTTTTCTCAAGCAATTCAACAATTAATCGATAATAAGAAAATTAACTGACACATTTCTTCTATGTCTGTTAAATAAATAAAAGATTCTATAAATAAATGGTTTATTTTCAGCTAAACATCGAAGATTATTCTCTCGGAGAAAAAAATAAGGCATTATGTGTGTGTCGTACAAACCGTTAGTCGGTGTCAATACTTTGACATCATTTTCCTTTTCTTCACTATGTAATATGCAGTTTATTATGTTTTTGAATTGATTCATCGTGTAAAAAAACATCTCACATATATATTGTTTTGATTGATTCTATTTTGATTCAAAGAAAACAAAATGCACGATGAAGAATTTAATCAAGTTGCAAATTTGATCTTCGATAGAGTATCTTCATTGAAGAAACTCGGTTGTCTTGCATGGAACGTTAATTCTATTAAGCAATGATACTCATGTAGTTCTATGTGGAAATGATTCGAATTAATGTTGTCGTTGTAGCTGTATGATTTGATCATGAACGTTGTTTAGTATTTTCACTTTATGATTACCCACATATTTTCTTCAGTGAGACAAAAACAGAAGTGTCAAACTCGAAACTTGAATTCAACTATGTCAACTGTTCTCGAATCCACTCGTTTAGTAGCCACATACCCCCTCAAGAAGAGAGATGCCTACTGACACCCACACGCTCACCCTGTGCCTGACATCACTACTTCACAAGAACTTTATCATGAAAATGGCTTACAATGTTTTGTTTGTGGGAAGATTTCATCATTTACAAATTTTCCGCCGAAAGAATTCTATGAAGTACAAGAGCCAAATCAACGGTTATATGTGATGAATGCACTTACAGATATATTTAGGACACGCCATTTAGTGCCAACAAAGTAATGTATATGAATATATTTATATAGTGTTTATTTGTGTTAGGTGTTGGATACGATACTTTGAGTTTAATCATGTCAATTTTGTGTTTGAAAATACCACATAAAACAAATTTCATTCCACAAGTATTAAACACGTAAGTTATTGCAATTTTCTGATTATATCGTGCGATGTCGGATATTGTATGTACGTTCTTTTTCAGATATGATAGTATATTCTCATTTGTTCAGCAACACTTCAATTCGGTTATTGATAGTATTCGATCATCCCATAATGTTGATAGTAACGATATGGATAGAATCGTTGATATTGCAGTGTCCATGAATGGTATGCTTTTTGGGGATGAGTTGTATGACATATCTGCCCTTTGTTTCATCTTAATAAATGAATGTATACATAGGGACATGGAGCAAGAGAGGTTTTGTTTCTCAATACGGAATTATTTTTGTTATCGAAGTGGACAGTGGATTAGTAATTGACTTCGAAGTATTGAGTACCAGATACGAGAAATGCGAAAAGAATCAATTGGAAAGATCAGCTCATGATTTTCGAAACTGAGTAAATCAACCATTCTACAGTACTTTCCAAAACTAATTGTTTACTTTCATTAGTTCAGAAGACATTCGGAAGCTTGCGAAAAAAATTGGAATGGAAGTTGAAGGATCGAAAAGGTTGTTCAAAAGACCATTAAACAAAGGTAATATTAGCTTGTATTTGATTACAGTTAGAATATTATTTTCGATAATTCAATAGTTTTCACCAATGTCCGTTATTTCATAGGTTTTCTCTATAAATGGATGATTTGTGATGGAGATTCTAGTGCATACGAAGCAGTGAAGAACACATATGTTCTACACGAATCAAACGACAAGTTAGAAGAACAAACACATGATGAAAATCAAGAACATGAATATTCTTCATGAAGAATCCTACTATTGAATAAAATGTTATTCTAGATATTCATTCAACGAGTAGTAATACATACTTTCGGACCATTGAACGGGATGCTGGAGAACATACAGTCACTAAAGAAGACTGCATCAACCATGTCCAGAAACGAGTCACTAGTATGTTGAAAACTATTAGAGCAAAATTTTCTCGAATGGAATCTCAGTCAAGATCTTCCACAGCAACTGGTCAAGAGTCACTTGAACGTTCGAAAAAACATTGAGTTTTGTTATCCGACGGTAAACCATACTCTGGAAGTGCAGGTAGAATGACGCATGAAATGGAAATGCCATACGAGAATCGAGTAATAAAGCAAAAGGTATTTGCTTTAGGAGTAAAGTAATCTAATCATCAGTTAAAATAATTTGGTAGAAATGAATCTTGATGAAAGTGAAGCAGTTGCGATTATGCAACAAAAGCGTCATGTTGTTTTTTTACCATTATATTGATTAAGTAGATAAACGACAACAGCATCAGTATTGTCCTAGTGGACCAAATAGGTATGCATCTATGACATGAACGTTTCCAAAAATAACTCTAAAAATTAATGTTGTAGTTGGTGTAAATATAAATCCGGTAAACAAGAGCGAAGTTCAAATGGAAGAAAGGACAGAAGAAAAAATCTCGATGAGGTAAATACATTTCGTTTCTATTTCATTATCTTCACAAACACGTCCAATAGATATCGACTCTTTCTTCCAGGTTTTTCTGCATATATTTCATGATATGATTGAATCTTTGACCAGCACCGAACTTCTCAAGAGGTATTTACAAGATATCTCATCCTTTCATTGGAAAATAAGCTAATCACTTATTTTGCTACTAATTTTTCTTACCAGGTGCGACACAAAATTCGAATGAATATTTAAATTCAATTGTTTGGTCTATACTTTCGAAAACCAAAAATCACGGTTATTGATCAGTACGTGGTGCTGCTGTTTTAGCTTGTCTGTACTTCAACAGAGGTCGATCTGGTTTGATCGACTATTTGAATTTCGTTGGCATTGATGCCAATCATGAATTCGTGAATATGACTATAGGTAAGTCACATATCAGTAAAGCATTATAATAAGCAGTTTCATGAAATTTCATCATGAAATTTTCGTTCCTTTTCAGATCAGAATGAGAAACGTTTGGAAAAAGCATTTGTTGCCGCTGCCAGAGAAGAAGAAATCACAGAACGAAAGCATCAGATCCGTTTCGACTCAATGCTAGCAGAAGTTGATACTGAAGAGTACGGTAGTAGAGAACATTAAATATCTGAATGATCAGAATAAGCTGAGCGAGAATTATTTACGAATATCTGAACTGTTCCCATTTGCTCCTTAGTACGATATATAATAAAGTCCAACACAAGTGATTGAAACTGCGTTAAAAAAGGCGCTGATTCGTGTTGAGAAATAAAAAAAACTTAAATATTCCGTTCGATTTGATTTCAATGAGAATGTGATATATAGTTCTTTCGTTCTCTTGGCTCGATACGACATCTTATGCTCTCTATATACGAATGGTTGTGTAGCCAATGGATAGCTAGTTGTATGAGTAAAGTTATCAGGAGCTTACGATAGGCACTAGTATTATATTAACTTTCTCATACAATATGCATATTTCATGTTCTTGAATTATTTTCAATTATAGCATCCAAATTCAGTTTCACGTAGGAAATTTTTGCGAAGAGATTTTTTTTCGAGGAGAAAATATGTCATCTGGTGGACATGAACGTAACAACCATATTCCTAAAAAATTTGGTTTTTAAAACAATTTGTTCAAATACGGGACTCGGCAAGAATTACTTTTGGCACTCAGCGGAAAATGCATTAAAAACCGGTTTTTTTGAAATTTTGGAAATTTTATAACTCGGTCAAAGAGCATCGGACCCGCGAAAATATCTTAACCCTAGACCCTTGGGGGTCAACCCTACAAACTGACAAAATTTGAGGGTAGGTTGTAGGGGGAGTATCCCCCCGCCCCCTTAAATAGAAAGTATATTGTTAGACAGTGTCGGCTAAGATGAAATGAAAAATGGGCACTCGTGACTTGTAGAGCTACTATGCTAATACTTATGTATTGAAAACGACAGATATTCTGAGAACTTAAGTTAACTTTCAGGATCCGTTGGGACCAAGGGGGGAAAAGCGAGACTTCATTTACTTCACACAGAGTGTTAAGTAAAACGAAGTATGACTGAAGTACCAATGAAGTACAGGTGAAGTACTAGTGAAGTACTAGTGAAGTACTAATGAAGTAAAGTGAAGTACAGTGAATTGTAATAAAATACTAGTCGTGGATTGGAATATGAGACTGAATTCTTTATTTAATGATAACTTTTGTTCATTCAAACGATACTGTACTGTTCTTTCTACATCATATGTGTGTCAATAATTATAAGATAATCTCTCTAGCCGTAATTACACAACAGCTTTCATTGGTTTTTGATAAAATCAATCAGTCAACTTATTATTCGAATCACGAGAAACGTTCTATATGTAAAACCAGAAGCAGAAAAATCCATATCAATAGTTATTTCACAATATACTTTGAATATTTCACTTTATAAGTGTACAGACCATGTTCATCGTATTACATTTCAAGGAAAATTAACGTATTAAAATTCAAATCGACTGCTGATACGAAATGCTGTGTCAACTCTCATACGATAGCTGAACTATTTGTTTGACTGATTGTTTTCATTAGAAATATCGTCACATCGGGCTAGAAAAGATGCTTATTGGATATCTTAATTACACTTTCTTTTAAAACGTCATATTACTATTGAAGCTTGAAGAAAAAAATTGGTAGATGAGTCTACTTTCTCAGCACATGTAACCACACTCAATAAGTAGAATCATTTTCACCAGTACAAGGAGGAATTACAAGATCTTTAATTTTTCTGAAAGTTAATACTTTGTCCACTTGTATGTTATAACTAATTATTGTAATTTCTTTGGTGACAGATAATTGAATCTAATCATCAACAGGTCACAATTAATTTCTTGCACTTATATCTGCCCATCGTACATAATTGAGCGACATCTACACAAGTCCATATTTTTTCTTTCTCG